TATAGAATGCTATCCAAGGAACATGATAACAGAACAATTAGTCTAACTTGGAAAGGCGGTTCAGAAAGTGGGACAATAGCAAATAATAAATTCTGAATGATACCAAATATTCTCTTATTGAAAATACAGCAAAATTTGTTTGTTCCAAATTGCATTTCATTTGCATTTTCACCAGTATGCCTCAGGGTTCTGACTCTCAGGCTGAGTAACTGTCCCTGATCCCCACACACAGGCCAGGAGGGGCAGGGTGAGGTTCAGGGCTGCTCTCCCTGGCAGCTCACTGCTGAGCCCACAGGCTGATTATGTCCCTTTTGGTTGGTTGTGCCCTACTGAGGCTGTTGGTGCCCAGGGGCCTGGACTCGGTCCAGAGCACTCAGCTGCATGTTATTGCCCTGAGTTCCCCAGCACCTCCCTCTGACACCAGCTCAGAGCCTCTGCTGGGCCAGCTCCCCACTCAGGCAACACACATGCCCAGTGGGGACCACCAAACAGAGAGGTTTGTGTTCAGGGATGAACCACTATGGGAGAATTTTGTGTAGTACCTTGCCCACAGTAATAAACTCCCATATCATCAGCCTCCACCCTTCTGATTCTCAGGGTGAAATCTGTCCCTGATTAGCTGCCAGTGAACCTGTCTGGGACCCCAATGAAATGGTTGGAAACCCTGTAGATCAGGCCCTGTGGGGACTGGCCTGGCTTCTGCAGGTACCAATGCAGATAGGTGTTTCCATTACTGTGTATGAGGCTCTGACTGGCCCTGCAGGAGATGGAGGCCGAGTCTCTGGGGGAGACAGACAGGGTGAGTGGGTATTATGTCAGCACGGCCTCCCCACTGGATCCTAAAATAATGAGAAATAAGTACAGGTTATAGAGCAACAGAATAAGCCATTTTTATGATTTCATATTTCAATTGTATTAGGCTAAATCATATTTCATGTTTGGATTCCTACTCTAAATATACCCAATTTCCATGGATAACCTATGAATTGCAGAGTGACCTCATTTTTTTTTTCAGCATCTCACTAAAGCACAGTTCTTTGTTCCTAGCAGTTTCTTCATGGTTTTCACAGATCTCAAAATTAAATACTTCTTGCTGGAGGGGAATCTCACCCCTGGACAGAGCACACATAGGGGGTAACAGCATCCAGACAGCTCACCCTCCCCACCCCAATCTCTCATCTCCACCTCCCTCTGCTCTTACCTGGGACCCAGAGCATCAGCAGCCCCAGGAGCTGAGAAGGGAACCTCATTTTGAGAAGCTGAACTGATGAGTCCTCGTAAGTAAACACAAGCTCAGAGCTGACCTTTATGTCAGACTTCCAAGGCAAGGTCCTCCCCAGGGGACAATATGCAAATCCTGTGGTGGGTGTGGCAGAGAGGAAAAAGCCAAAGGCAGGGTGCAGGTCCCTCTCCTGGGAGAGCAGTAACTTAAAATGTCTTCTGTGTTTGGAGGGATACTAACAGAGACAAATTCCTTTCTGCCTGTGTGGGAAGCAGGATCTCCCTGTGGTAATCAGGATCTATGGCAGGACACAGTGTTCAGAGCCCTGCCTTCTGAGAAACGTCCAGAGACCCTGACGATAAAGACATGCATGTCCAGAATCCATTACTGGCAGGTGAATGGCCATCCTGCCTGGATTCCTGTCAGCTAATGTCCAGAAGGAAACAGCTTCCACTTCCACTCCAGATGATTGACTGGCGATCTCCAGATCTTAGGATGAACTTGAAATAGATCAGGAGTCTCTGGGATCAGCTGTTTCCAGGTTTTGGTTTTACACAATTTAGTAATGATTTAATAAAGAATTAATCTCACCCTGGGGCTTTGTGAATTATACTCTATTAGAAGATGAATGTGAGAAGAACTTGAGAGGATCAAAAGAATCTCTCACAGGAGAACTCATAGTCCAGCAGAAAAGAGTAGGAGAGCAGACAAAATTTTATGCTTCAGGCAGTGAGTAGGAGTGTGGTAACCATTTGTTACAACCTGGTGTGTATCCTTTCATGTTTCTCTCTCTCCCTACAGAGAGAGAGAGATAGATATAGAGGTAGGCAGATAGTTAGGGACACACACACCATATGGCATATGTGAGACCCTTCACTAAAATAGGGGCATAAACTGATGGATTTTTTGGTGACAGCTTGACGTTATGTCATATTGAATCATTTGTGAGAATCGCATCAAGTTCAAATTACCTCAGACTCAAGTCACTGTTCTGCAAACAAAATCCTGGAGAAACTAAAGAAAACAGTTTGTACTTCTATTAGATCAACCGTAATTTAAATCTGAAGTCATACTGAACTGAAAAATAACTGAATACATACAGTTTCAGGCTTGATTAACAATAAAGCTCAGTCTGAATATTTTCTAGGAAATCCTCCAAGAGTTAGATTTTGTGTCAAATCTAAACGAGCTGTTGTGTAAAAATGGTATCGAAAGCAAAGCCTGATCTCAGCAAGGATACTTGGGTGTTGAAGACAAACCATGGAAGAAGTAGAAGTAGAAGAGCCCATGTCTCATAGTTGACTAGCTAGCATTTTATTTGCCTTTTTTGTGATTTCTGTGCTAGCCAGTGCAATCCTGAATCTTACTCTTGAAAATGCCAGCCTTCCTAATGAATCCTGCTAGTGAATGAATTCAGAAAGATAAGCCAGTGAAAATGAAAAAAGCACGACAAAAGCAAATGGAGAATACAAGACAGTACTGTAAATCTTAAGGTGAGTTTGGAAAACTATTCATTACAGATGTTAAGTTAAGAATTACATTATTGGGGTGCCTGGGTGGCTCAGTGGGTTAAAGCCTCTGCCTTCGGCTCAGGTCATGATCCCAGGACCCTGGGATCGAGCCCCACATCAGGCTCTCTGCTCAGCAGGGAGCCTGCTTCCTCCTCTCTCTCTCTCTGCCTGCCTCTCTGCCTACTTGTGATCTCTATCTGTCAAATAAATAAATAAAACTTTAAAAAAAATAATTAAATTATCTACCACTGTGTATCAAGTACACTAAAAAAAGAATCAGAATCACATTACCCATTATGGTATGTGAAACCTCAATATGTGGATATATGGCCAGAAATTATTCATCTGTAGAACTTGATCTATAAATTTTCTCAAGCCAAACCACTCAAACTCATAGTGCTTTGGCCAAGTTGATGGCCCACTGACCTGTATCCTGACTGAGCCCAAATGAGGTTCTTTCTGAGAAAAGATGAGCTTATCCTTGCCTGAGAATTGAGATGAAGCCATCCAGCAGAGGGAGCTTCCCCAACATGAGGTCTGTTGAGTAGCTTCTTGGGACCTGTGACTGAAATGGGTCCCCTTTTCTAAAGAACTGCAAATGATCACCCTCTAGAGGATGATCTCACAGAGAATAATTTTGGTGCCAGGCGGCTCACGTATACATATGAATGTGTTGATCTTCTGACTTTAAAAGTTATTTCTCAACCATATGAAGCAGGTCATCTCTGAGCTTCAATGATCTAGGTCCTTCAAAGTCCTGATCTTCATATGTGTAATTTGAATTCCTTCCCAATATCATCATTTCTTTTCTTTGTTTTTCCTTGAATAAATGTATATGGAAATACATTTTGTAGAGCTGTCTGCAATTCTGCTGAGTCCTGTGGAGAAATGGGAGCAATGTCTTATGTTGACTGTGAAGGGTATTCTTGTAGCAGTTGTAATCCTTGGGAAGGACCCCTAATCACCCCAGTCTAATCATGGAAAGTGAGACAGAAGTTCCCTCTGACCACAGGCCACCTCATAATCCCTCCATTGTAATGAACTCTTTCCTTTGTGTAGCAATTTGCATCCCCAACCCCAAAGTGTCTCCTGTGAGAGATGGAACTTCTGTCCTGAGGATTTCTCATGAAGTCCTACAACTTTCTCATCAGTTAAAATATCCTTCCACTGCTTAAATGTGAGATAGCTTGATTACTTATTTATGTGTTTGCTTTTTCTCTGTGGAACTTTGATGCACGTGAGAGATGGAGAGGAAAGAAGACTAAAGGGGACATGAAAATGTATGATCCTTTTGTCTGTTCTGTACATAAGAGAGGTATGAGTTGGGTGCACATTTGCACAATGTTAATATATCGTGTCCATGTTCTCTTTATTCATGGGTCAGTTCATGTTTGTGGGTTTTTTATTTGTTTGTTTTGTTTGTAGATTCCACATAAAAATGAAGACATATAGTATTTGTCTTTGTCTGAATTGTTTTGCTTAGCATTATAGTTTCTAGGTCCATCCATGTTGTTGCAAATAAAATGATATCATTTCCTTGGTTGAGTAGTATTTCAATATATATATATATGTATATGCCACCTATTCTTTAAAGAATTCGGAGCTTATATTTGCTATGAATTTACAAGTTTATTTGGGTGCTTGACCACCAAACAATTTTACTAATTTTTCTCACGTGTTTTTCTTACAGGGAAAGCATGTATAGAATGACATCCAGACCACATTTTAACAGAGCCTTTAGTTTAACTGGGAAAGCAGATGTCAAAGTGGGAAAATAAAAAATATAAATTCTGAATGATACGAGATAGCCTCTTAATGAAAATATAGGAAACATATTTAGTTCCAAATGTATGTAATTGTGTTTTCACATAAATGGCTCAGGTTTCTGATGCTCAGGCTGAGTCACCATCCCTGAGCCATACACAGGGCAGGAGGGTCAGGGTGAGGTTCAGGGCGGTTGTCCCTGGCAGCTCACTGCTCAGCCCATAGGTGATCATGTCCCTTCTGGAGCTGGTTGTGCCTCGTTGAGGCTGTTGCTGCCCAGGGTCAGGACTTGGTCCAGAGCACTCAGCTGCATGTTACTGCCCTGACATCCCCAGCACCTGCCTTTGATGCCAGCTCAGAGCCTCTGCTGTGCTGGCTCCCTGCTCAGGCAACACACGTGCCCAGTGGGGACCACCAAACAGAGAGGTTTGTGTCCGGGCCTGAACCACTGGGGGAGGACAATGTGTACCTTGCTGGCAGTAATAAACTCCCACATCATCAGCCTACACCCTGCTGATTCTCAAGGTGAAATCTGTCCCTGACCCACTGCCACTGAACCTGTTCGGGACCCCAGATTTACGGATGGAAACCTCATAGATGAGGCGCTGTGGGGACTGGCCTTGTTTCTGCAGGTACCAATACAAATAGGTGTTTCCATCTCTGTATAGGAGGCTTTCACTGGCCCTACAGGAGATGGAGGCCGGCTCTCTGGGGGCAATGGACAGGGACAGTGGGGTCTGTGTCAGCACAATATCCGCACTGGATCCTAAAATAATGAGAGATAAGTACAGTTTACTTTGACACATTATAAGCCATTTTTATGATTTTAAGTTTCATTTACATTAGGCTAAATCATATTTTGTGATTGGATTCCTACTCTAAATATATCCAATTTCCATGGATAACCCAAGAACTGCAGAGCACAGAGTAGCCACATTTTTTTTTCAGCATGTCACTAAAACACTGTTTTTTGTTCTTTTTAATTTCCTCATAATTTTCACAGATCTCAAAATTAAATTCCCCTCATGGAGGGCAATCTCACTGCTAGCCAGATCACACATAGGAAGGAAGAGCACCCAGATAGCTCACCCTCCCCACCCCAATATCCCATCTCCTCTCCCCTCTATGCTATTACCTGGGATCCAGAGCATCAGCAGCCCCAGGAGCTGAGAAGGGAACCTCATTTTGAGAAGCTGAACTGCTGAATCCTAGTAAGTAAACACAGGCTCAGAGCTGACCTTTATGTCAGACTTCTAAGGCAAGGTCCTCCCCAGGGGACAATATGCAAATCCCATGGTGCCTGTGGCAGAGTGGAAAGAGCCAAAGGCAGGGTGCAGGTACATCTCTTGGAAGTGCGGTAACTTAAAATGGCTTCTGTGTTTAGAGGAAAACTAACAGAGACAAATTCCCTACTGCCTGTGTGGGAAGCAAGATCTTCCTGTGGTAATCATGATCTGTGACAGGACACAGTGCTCATAGCCCTGCCTTCTGAGAAAGCTCCAGAGACCCTGATGATAGAGGCATGTGTGTCCAGAGTCCATTTCTGGTAGGTGAATGGCCATCTTGTTTGGATTCCTGTCAGCTAATGTCCAGGAGGAAACTGGTCCCATTCAAACTCCAGCTGATTGGCCAGCAATCTCCAAATTCCAGGATGAACTAGAGTCTCTGGGATCTGCTGTTTCCAGGTTAATGGTTTAATACAATTTAATAATGATTTAAAATGAAATAAACTCACCCTGGGACCTTGTGACTTATCTACTCTTTGAGAAGCTGAAGCTGAGAAGAACGCTACAGGTAGAGAATAATCTCAAACTTACAGGAGGAGAACTCCTAGTCCTGCAGCAGAGCATAGGAGAGAAGACAAAATGTTATGCTTCAGGCAATAAGTATGAAGTTTGTGGTAACAGTTTGTTACAACCTGGTGTGTATCCTGCCATACTTCTCTCTCTCTTCCCAGAGAGACAGATAGATGGATAGATAGATAAACAAGACTGACAGATGATAGACACATACCTACCATTTGGTGCATATTAGATAAGGTAAACACACACACACACACCCCATATCAAAAAAGAGATTTCTTAAGTCAACATGTTCTAAGAGGAAGGACAGAATAAATAATGTTTCCATATCCCAGAAAGCAATGTTTCCCCTTCCCATTCAGAGGCTTCCTCATCATGTGTAAGCGGTTTCTGTTAGGGGTCTGGTTCCTTGTTAGTTCTATGTGAGAAGTTGTTGCCTCTCACTTGGCTTTTATGTTCAGCATGCGCAGCTCTGAGTCTGTAGTTCACAATGAGATTCTGTAGGTGAGAATAGCAAGGACTGGGATAAAACTTCTAATAATTTGAGGTCACCTGTACCTATGACGGACATTTTCTGATGTCTCGGGTGAACCACAGTCACTGTGGAAGGGGGTCCGGGGTCAAAGTTGCTTGGGGCATCAGTTTACCAAACATCCTTCTTTAAGGTTGGGACATAACCTGATGATTCTGCCTGTGTCAGTCTGATGTAGGATTTAGTCAATGGTTGGTGAGAATTTGTGTCAAAACCTCAAAGTACATGACAACTCAAGTCACTGTCGGGCAAACAAAATCCTGGAGAAACTGAAGGAATAGAATTTGTAGTTCTGTTAGATCTCAGGTAATTCAAGTCTAAGTTCATACTGAATTGAAGAATTACTGAATACATGCAAGGCCAGGCAAGATTACACAACAAATCTCGGTCTGAATATCTTCCAGGATATCCTCCTAGAGTGCAATTTTGTACCATAGTTGGAAGAATGATTATGTAACAATGGTAGCGTTAGTAAACCCTGAACTCTATGGAGGGACTTGGGTGCTGATGACAAGTTGTGATAGAACTAGGACTAATAGCCCATGTCCTATATGGTACTAGTTGTCATTTTATTTAATCTTTCATGTGTTTTATCTCTCTCTTTTTTAAAAGATTTTATTTATTTATTTGACAGACAGACATCACAAGTAGGCAGAAAGGTAGGCAGAGAGAGAGGAGGAAGCAGGCTTCCAGCTGAGCAGAGAGCCTGATGTGGGGCTCGATCCCAGGGTCCTGGGATCATGACCTGAGCCAAAGGCAGAGGCTTTAACCCGCTGAGCCACCCAGGTGCCCCCATGTGTTTTATCTCTTTATCTTTTCTTAGAGTACTAGCCAAGAAATCCTGAATCTTACTCTTGAAAATGCTGGAGTGATTCAGAAAGTTAAACCATTGGAAATGAAAAAAAAAAAAAAAATCAGGAAAAAAAGGAAAAATATAAGATAATATTATAAATCTTAAAATGAGTTTGAAAACTATTCATTACACATTTAAATTAAGAATCACAATATCTAACACTGTGTGTCAAATATACTAAAGAAAATCAGAATCACATTACCCAATATCATATGCGAAACCTCAATGTGTGGAAATTTGGCTGAAATTTATTCATCCATCATGTTTATTTACTGTGCATCAGTTTTGAAACTATGTTTTTTATAATGTATTTCTAAGAATGCTTGAACTTCAAAAATATTACTATTTCTTACAAAGCATAACATGAAAATTTTAAAAGTCTCCTTTTGTGTTTGGTTGTTTATCTCATAATTTCTTGCCCTGAAATACCTAAAAAATGTAAAACTTTTTGAAAGTTCTTTCTTGACAAAAAAGGCTTTGAAATTTTTCTCTGCTACCTGTAGACTGAAGAAAGACTGTTCCTAATTCCTCAGAGGAGTCGTTATCTCCTGTGTCTGTAGGAACTTTGTTGTACCCTGGACAATAAAAGTGACTTCATCAGCGTTGGTCGCTGCACACCACACAGAAATCACCAGCATCTGTAAGGGATATAAGAAGAACCTTCATGAGGTCCAGGTAGGGAACAGGACTCTAGGAATCTCTAATCTTGACCACCATCACCTCAAGGAGCAAGGACTTACAGAGGTGGGTTTCGTTGCGTTTTTGTCTCTTTGCCGGGGACGTTGCTTTGGAATCCATAAAACGGGAAGCCACTGTGTCAATTGTGTCCCTTGGGAGGATTCTGTTGCTGCTTTGGTTATGTGAGTCCATTATTCTGGGGTCAGGGTGTGTGGGTGGGGAGTGTGATGCTGTTATACATTCTTCAGAACTCGATCTATACATTTTCTCAAGGCAAGCAGCTCAAACTTAAAATGCTTTGGTGAAGTTGAGAGACAACAGACCTGTGTTCTTACTGAGCCCAAATGGAAGTTCTCTCTGCCACCCAGCAGAGGGAGTGCCCCCCAAGAGTTTGCTGAATAGATTTTTGGGACCTGTGACTTAAATGGGTCACCTTTTCTAAATAACTGCAAATATTCACCCACGAGAGGATGAACTCACAGAGAATAATTTTGGCTCCAGGTGGTTCCCATATATATGCGAATGTGTTAATCTTCTGACTTTATTAGTTATTTGAAAACCCTGATCTCCATATACGTAATCTGAATTCCTTACCAATATTGCCATTTCTTTTCTTTGCACTTTTTGGAATAAGTAAATAAGTAAATAAATTTTCTAGAACTGAGATTCATGTGAGTCCTTTGAAGAAATGGGAGCAATGTCTTATGTTGGATGTGAAGGTTATTCCTGCATCAATGCTAATCCTTGGGCAGGGCTCCCAGTCACCACACTCTAATAAAGGAAAGTGACACAGAAGTTCCCTTTCACCACAGGCCACCTCATAAGCCCTCATTTTAATAAACTCTTAACTCTGTGTAGCTGTTTGCATCCCCAACCCCAAAGTGTCTCCTATGAGGAATGGAACTTCTGTCCTGAGGAGTTCTCATGAAGTCCTACAGCTTTCTTGTCAGTTAAAAAAATATTCTTCCACTGCTTTAATTTGAGATGGATTGTTTCTTTGTCTGTGTGTTTGCTTTTTCTCTGTGGAAAGATTGTATAATTGTCTCCTCCACCAGAGCACTGCCTTCCCCCCATGTGTCCTTCTAACAGAGAGCTTTCTCATCAGGGCAGAGAGAACACATTCTGAGCTCAAGCCTTAAGCCCTGAGTTCCTTAGGGAAAATAAGGAAGCAAGATTTTCTCAACACATCTATGGCAAAACCTGAGTCCTGGGGTGTGCGTATATTCCTCATTTGTAGATAATCACAAACAACTTTCCGACAAGAATATGCCAATATACATTTCAGCAGCAACACGTGAAATGTCCACTAGCTCTTCAACCTCACCACAACTTAATCTTGGCAGTTTGCTCAACATTAGCCTATCTGGTTATGACGTAGCAACAACACAGTGAGATTTTCATGGGCAGTTCCTGCATTACTGATCAAATTTGCCCCCTTTGTATGTAATTACTTAGCATCTTTGCACAAATAATTGCTTATTGTGGCTCTTTTTTCCCCCTTACTTGTACTAGTTATTTTTCTAGGCTTATTAGAAGCTATTTGATGATTGTATGTGTTGCAGATATCTGGGGCTTCCCTGGTTTGATCTGTGTCCTAACTGAGGCAGATCTCCCACCAGAGCACTGACCCAGGCATTGACATGGGCTCAGGACAGCAGGGTGGGCTGCAAAGGGCCATCTGGGCTTCCAGCTCCCAAGACGATTCACTTCCCCATCTCTGCCCTTCAGCAACCCATCTCATGGCAGAGGATGCCGAGGGCTCAGCCTGAGGGAAGGGTTTCTCTCCTGTGTCCTCTTGCCTTACCTATCACTTAAACTCCTCCAGATGGTGTTTGGCACAAGCCCATTGAGAAGAGAACGGAAGCCATTCAACTCTCGCTTTCCCAACCTTTATGTACATTTCAAGGAAGCAGTTTTATCAATGCTACTCCAACTTCCACATAAATGGTCATCACAGCAGGAGTTAAAGCTTACTGACAGTCAGACATTATCCACCCAAAGGCCCTGATATTATCAGAGAAGTCCCTGAAGTTACCCAATTTGGGCTGGGGACAAAGCCGCATTGCTTATGGAAGTGTGATATTGGCCTCATTCACTTAACTTCTCTCTGTCTCAGTTTCCATGTCTTTGAAACTGTGACAACAATGGTTCTGTTTGCAGTTTAAATGAAGTAAGGTATTTGGCACTCTATCAAACACATATTTTATTTTTTATTTTATTATTATCACTACTGTGTTGTGTTCCCATAATCATGGTCATCATAGGTATATTGAGGAACCTCATAGAGAGACACATGGAAGATAAACTTAGAACTAATCCAAGTATGTCTCATTCACAGTCACCTTAAGATCTAGGGATGTTTTTCAGCAACCAACTCACAATTCCTAAACATAGAATTATTTTGTCTTGATCTATACTAATTGCTCATGGGTTCCATCAAGCCTACCAGACCTGTGCATTGTGTTTTTTTACCATCCAGTATCAAAACCTCACCCAAAAGAGGTTAAAACATCATGGGTTGTTCTTCTTTCTTTCATAATCCTTATATGATCTTTTTCTTCTTTTTTGTAATTCTTTAATACTTGACCCATGACTCACAGGAAAGAAAAATTACCCCCCTCACGTTGGGGGACCTGCTGTAGGATACTTTCAAGTTTCTGGGCCTCAGGCCTCTATAAAATGTCACACTGAAATATATCCCAGGGTAGTATTTTATAAAATGAAGAATTTTATCTGTTCATGGGCTAAGGAATTAGTATCATGATTATATGTTTTAATAATAAAAGCTAAATTAATCGATTAAAACAGAGTATAATATAATAAAATAGAAAACAAAAGTATGTTGTATGCATTGATGATAAGAATAGCTTCATGGATATTTTCTCTATTAGACACATATTGTGTAATGTGTGCAAAGATGATCCAAAAATAAAAGGGACACTGTCTTAAGCAATGCCTGAAATACACTGAGGCTTGCCCACTTTTCCTATTATGTCACAAGACTTCTGTACTATTCCTATGAGTGAAAAAATTAGTTGTGATGTATTTATGTAATAGTGAACTATTCATCAGGAAAAGAATGAATTATGGCCACACCAACAACAGAGATGAAGTTCAAACAACACATTGATCCTAAGAAGCAGGCAGCAGGCATCAAAACAGTACGTACTGTATAATTCCACTTATATGAAGTTCAAAAACAGAGAATATCTGCTCAATGTGGATAGAAAACAGAAGAGGGGTGGCCTCTCGTGGTATGTGTGTGGGGGGTGGGCATGGAATTGACAGGGAAGGAGACTGAGGGAGCTTTTGGGATGCTAGAGACAGTCTCTGTCTTGATCTGTTTTTAGTTGTACTAATTTTTTTTAAATGAATGTAGTTAAATAATGAGTAGAAATTATGGAGACAAAACAACAGATTCTTTTTCCGTCTTCTTCCTTTACAAGCACCGGCATGTTCTTCCTTTACAAGCACTCTGAGAACCCCTGATTTCTCCTCTCTAGAGGTTAATTGTGAGATGAATTGCGCTAGATGAATGAGTCCTTCGTACAGTATTCAATACATAGTAAGTCCTCAAGATTTCACTCGATGGCAGTTGACAGTGTAGTTGTTGATGTTTATTATTTTATTCGTGGTAGTCGCATTACAGTAGTAGTGTCTAAAGTATTAGTACTAACGTTCGTAGTACTAGTATTTGCAATACGAGTATTAGTCATAGCAGTATTAGTAGTATTAGTAGTGTTTGCTTGGATGTGGGTTCCCATTTTTTGCCTACTTCACAGAGTGTTTATCAGAGATATGATTCAAGGTCCATCCCGTGGATGCATTCTGTCGCAGGCCTGCAAGAGAAATTTCATTTTAGAATTCCTGCTGTTTGGGATTTCTGTCATCAAAAAGGGATCTTTCAAAGGATAAAATCCCTTGATCCTTGAGCCCTGCTAGCCCTTCCCCAAAGCAGCTCCTGCTCCAATGAAGAGACCACAGAGAAAATTCAGCTGCTGGAACCATCCTGAGCACAGCCCACTGCTCCCTCAGCCGTCCCCACCTAGCCCGCGGGTTGGGGCTATAGCACCGTGGGAGGAAGGATATAATCCTGCTAGCAGTAATAACTGGCAGCATCCTCATACTCTACTGCACTGATTTTGAGGATGAATTCTCTGTACAAGTGAATTGCAGAGAACCGGTCTGGGAAACCAGACTTGAGGTTATCAGCATCATAGATGAGAAGCTGAGGAGCCTGACCTGGATTCTGGTGATAACACCTCAGATAATCCCTGGCGCTATTGTTGGTCCTGCAGGTGATGGACACGCCCTCTCTCAGGGACGCCAAGAGGAAGGCCAGAGACTGGGTCAGCCCCGCATGCCCGTGGACAACTGGGTTGGAAGCAAAACACAAAGTCACCATTGTTTGCCGGGTCCCACTCCACATTCCTCCCAGAAGATTCTCGTGGCCCTGGTCCCCTAATCTGAGATATTGGAGTTCCGAGGGGAGGGGGGACCACGGGTCAGGGATCCACAGGGAGGATCCCTGGGGAGATCCCACAGTCAGGAGGACAGGACTCCCACCATCTCGGGGATGTCCCCTGCACTCCCCTCCTCACCTGGGAGGCAGGCCAGCAGAAGGCAGAGGAGTTGGGTCTGGACTCCCATGTTCTATCCGTGGCCCAACCTGATTCTCTTTTGTGCCCCGAATGTCTGAGCAGCCTCTTCACGAAGATGCTGAAGAGCAGAAAAGGGCTCTGGGAGAAATATGCAAATCACTGAGGGGTTGGGCAGGTCTGCGGCAGGTACAGAACCAGTGCCTCTTGGGGGATCACATAGACGCACGGTTCGCGTCCCATCCCGGAGGAGCTTCTCTGAGCTGTTCGTCAGAAAAAACTGCCTCTGTATTTCGTGATCCTTGTTTGTCCTCAGAGTCTAAGAGTTTTTGATTAGAACAAGGGTTCTTCCTCCTAATAATGAGAAATGAAAAGAAGATGACTCCCTAAGACCTCACTTTCCTATGAATACACACTTTTGACTGTGGGTTTTCCCGGACATTATGCTAGAAAGGCCTGTGAGGCTCCATCTTCATACCTTACCTCGAATAGATGCCATGAGCCCCAGGGGAGAAGACGGAAGGACCTGATGCCTGGGAAGTAACCCCCTCACCCTCATACAGATTCAGTGTTTTCCTTGATACCATTTTTTTTTTTTTTAATTCTCATAAATGACTCTAAGTTTGGGTGAAATGTATTGGTGAAACCTAGATGCTGACTCCATTCTTAGTCTATTAACTGTTCTTACTTGAAAATTAGAAATGTGTGTAAAAGTGTGTTACGTACCTTTATCTCATATACCTTTGGGATTGAAAAGGTTTTATTCGGAACCCATTATATTACGATTACATCAGTAGATCATCGGGGCTCAGTGGGGCTCCCAGGATCAACACCTGCTTGGTTCAACATAACATGCCCCAGAGCTGCTCTTCCCAGAAGACTTCTACAGGGTTGCCCAGGTGGGAAGCGAGTTATTTTGAATCACCTTCAATCCCGAGTACCTTGTGATTTTTTATTTGAACTTTACATTGTAAGCCTGTGGGATTCTTTGGAGTGAGAGGGGTTTGTTTGTCCTATATGTGAAGTTCCACAGCATCTCAGATGTCCCCACTCCCACTGGCAGCCTCTCAGGAACCACAGGTGCTCCCATATGGTTGCTCAGAGGGTGGCTGTCCATATCCCTGTGTCCAGACAGAGCCCTGAAGGTGAATTCCCATCATAGCACACAACCTTGGAGATGAAACTTTACACTCCTGACCTCAAAACATCAGGGAAATCTGTCCTCCCTCTCAGCAGCTCTGGGGCCGGGAGGACCAGTGCTGTGTGTTCTGTGGGTGACTTTCACACATGAGTCAGAGGCTATATCGTGCTCAACCTTCCCAAGAATTCCCTGCATAATTGCCAATCTCTCTTAACTATTTCCACATGATTTAAAATCAGACAAAAAGAAAACCATCATTTTATTCATATAAACTACCTAATGTTGAATATTTTTACCTTCTTGCTAATTCCTAATATTCTTGAAATTTACTATATCCTGCCACCATATTCTTATAATATAAGGGGAAGAATATATTAAAATTTTCTCTACATTTATGCAGTAATGTTTATAGGTGACTTTGATCTATTTATTATTTTTCATGTTATCTTTTCATATTTTTATATCAACATTAACTTTTTATAAAAAATTTTGAAAAATTATTCTCCATATGATCTAATCTAAAGAAATAGTTTTTGGGATTCAAACATATTTGTAAAGCCAAGGTACAGCATACAGAAACATTTTTATTCATACTGTGGTGCACTTAAGGGGAAAAAACTATATCAAACAATAGGTAATACTTCCAGTTCTAAAATAAATAATTTGTGGGGATGTAAGGTACAGCATAGGGAATATAGCCAATGATATTTAATAACTTTATATGGTGACAAATGGTAACTCTTAAGTGGTGAGCATTGCATAAGGTATAGAAATGTTCAGTAACTGTGTTGTATACCTGAAACTAATGTTGTATGTTAACCATAAATAAATAATAAATAAATAAAGTAGGTAATAGATTTTTGCTTATTCTGTGACTGCTGTAGTTCTACAACTTTGTTCTTAAGTGTTGCCTTTACTTTTATTTGTCCATTAAACTTCCATAAAAGTTTTAAAATCAACTTGTTCCTAATAGGTTAAGAAAATTAAAAAAATGAATGACGAAAATATGTCTCCATCAAAGACAGTATTTTGTCTTTCTCTTTGTTTCCTGTGATACTGAATGTAAGGGCCTGGTTGGCCAGAGGGAGCCATTTTGTTGTATTAAACTTAGATTGACCCTATGCAGTGAACTTAGATTGACCCTGTCCCTCCAAGAGGAACTTACTTGCAAAGCCTAGATACAAGGGTGGGTCAGGCCAGGTGAAGACATCCAATCAGTGGGGCGCGCATATAGCTACTAGGGTAAATTGAAATTCAATTGGCCAACCGTGTGTTACTTAGCATGACTGTGCAGTTTTCTCTGTATATTGCAGTCTCATTGGCCACCTGTGTATAGCCCGGCTAAACTACCTCTATAAAAGTTAGTCTGTGATGCTGGGAGGGGTCACCTCTTTGCAAGAGATGGCCCTGACCGGTCAGTTTGATTCTTGATGCTTGGCGTGAAATAAAGCTTTGCTTGATCTTCGCTTTGTATCAGTCTCGCTCCTTTGATTACGGACCCTAACACTGAATACCTATGAAATTGTACAGGGCTTTAGGAACCAAGGAGCTAAACCAGGCCCCCTTCCTTATAGATGTCATACAATGGTAGATTCATATCCCTAAATATTGCTTTACTGATGTGTTGACATTAAAAATCAGCAGTGATGAAGCACCTGGGTGGCTCAGTCAATTTTGATGCTGAACTGAGCTGATTTCAGCTTGATTTCAGCTCAGGTCAGGATCTCAAGGACGTGATTTCAAACTCTGCATTGGGCTCTGCGTGGAGTTCAGAGACTGCTTAAGATTCTCTCTCCCCCTCTCCCTCTGCCCTTCTCCTTGACCCCCCACCAAGAATTTTTAATTTTATCATTATTCTGAATTAATAATTCTACTAGTGCACTCGTCAACCTTAAACAAAAATTAGCCAGTTATTTTACTAGCAAAATGAGCTTATTTGAGAAAAGCAGAAGATTTGCCATTTGGGACAAAGCAAATTATGGCAAACCACTGCTGAGTCTGAAGAGGCAAAAGGAAGGTCCGCTTTTATTATGCATTAGGAGGAGATTGGGGAGGATTGTTTTGAACAAATTCTCACTGGAGAAAGAGAGTTTGAGGTTGTAGTGGTTTCTCATTGGCTGCAAGCGGTGGTTGTTGCTTGCAGGGAGAGTTCATCTTTCTTTTTTCTTAAAACCGGGAAGAGAATTCCTATGTGAAAAATGTCCTCCCTTGATAATTCTTACATTTCTTCTTCCCGTTGGTTATGCAGACTCTAACCATGGTATGGTATGTGTAGGAAAACTTCCCAGCTTAGATAAGATTTCCTTTACTCTTTTTTATCCAACAAAGTCAGTATTGTTTGTCAAGGAGAGTAACGAAAGGGCAGGTGCATCTATGACTACCGTTGGTAGCACCCTCCTGCTAACAAACACGTAATAGCTCTGTTCTTCTCAATGGCATCAAGGCATTACCGTTCTCATTGTCCTGTCCTTGTTGCCATGTCACCTCTTTACAGAGTCACGTGGAAAACCTGAATATAGAATATCATCTTTATCATGATTAGGAGATATCATATTTCTCCCTCCCTTTTTTTGTTTGAAGCTATTCTTCAATGAAGATCATGAGCAGGGCTCATATTTGAGGGCTCAGAGCAATAGGGATAAAATCAAGAGATATTTGTTAAGAAGCAGAGGCTTGGGACTCAGGAGCACTCTGTAAAGTAGCACAGTTTGTGCACTGCACAAATGTGCCCAGCTAAAGGGAATTAATAGGGCTGAAATGATATGCTTCCTCTCAGAAAGCTGAGTATTGTCCTTTATGTCCCACTTGAGGACAAGTGGTATTACCCATGAATTCATTTTTCAGTCAGTATGTTTTATGTTTGTTGATTGGTAGTTTCATTTAGTTGTTATTTTCTCTGGAAGTTACAAGAGCTGTGACCTATATCATGAGAGTATTAATAGATTTCACCATAAAATGAAAAAAACCAATTGGATAATATCTTATACCTGGAATTCATGACATGAATGTGGACATAGAGATAATGGGGATTTCATGGGATGTAATGGTTTGTAGGAAGAAATAACTCCATTCAAACCCTTAGGACCTCCACTGAATGAGAAAACATATATTCAGATAAGTTTACCAATTGGTGTATGATTTAGAAACAAAGATTGTAAAGAAAATTCCTCAAACCAGGTTAGTGCTATATCTAGTCCTGGACACTAGTTTTTTATGGGGAGTTACTGGAGTCATATTAATCCATTTAATTCATAAGAATTGTAGAAACACATCACAAAATGTATCTACATGTATGCATATTATACATATATACATATATATATACATATGGACATACATTCACATATATAATTCTATTTATTTACTTCAGATTTAATGACATTTACTTAGTCTGAATTATCTACAGAATTTGTCACCATTACTCTAAGTAATCATAGTTAGATGTTTCTACAATGGGGTGAATTTTACACTTTTTAATTCAAATATTTTTAAAAACATTTCTTTGTTTTGTTTCTTCTTGTGAATGGATTTCCAAGTATTTCTTTTTATGCCATTGTGTTTAATAAAACCTGTCAATTTCTATGCAAAGATGTGTAAAAACTGTATTACTCAGATTTTACACACTATTTCAAGAAACCAGTCAAATACTCAGTGGCTTGTCATACT